TTAAGAAAGTGTTGGCTCCTCCAAATAAAGACTAAAAAAAACAACAATACTGTTTAGCTTTCTAACAATATTTCTGATCAAAAAGTCTTCATAAAGCATTGCCACCCAAACAAAACACAATTCAAATCCCAAGCAATTATATGGCCACAAAGCATAAAGACCACAAAAACAACACATGTACAGCTTAGCATCTCTGCTAACTTTACCACTTCAAGCGAAAGGTGGAGGCTAGCTGACCCACAAAAACTGGAAAGCCAAAGAACGGCAGGACAAAAAGTCAAAGTCATACAGCATGTTTTAACTTTGCTGTTTTATGGTTAAGATTCAGTCAGACTCTAAATCGAGATCCATTTCAGCTTTTCCTCTATGACTCTACTGTAGTTTCACAAATGAATAACAAAAAAGCTGCTAGTTTTCATAAAAAAATGAGAGAATTTTAGACATTTTAAGTTTTATTTTTGTGTTTTGCTGAGTAATAAATGGCATAGGTTACCAATAATAAAAATAACAATAGGAAACTTCTGTTGTATGGTCTTATTTGAATTAGAAAAAGAACAAACTAAAACTTAGAATAACAACATACTCATAGATTTTATTAACAGATTTTCCATTAAGTGTTAAAGGCCATATGCCATAAACAGAGCCAAAATGTTTCCAAATGGCATGTTTTCTTATGTTCCTTGTAGAAATAGCTAACATATCTGCAGACTACACACATCCTGGACACAAATTGTTCAGATTTTTACCATTGGGTTGGAGCTACAGTGAAAACCAGCATCTACAGAGACAGTTTCTTCCTCCAGGCTGTCCCTTTGATCAACACAATGAACATTACCTACCTGGTCAGATGTTCAACTGGAAAACAAAATAAAAACAGCAAAAAAAATCTAACTTTTGTTTTTTGTTTATAGCTAAAAATACATGCACACATTGGTATCCTTTAATTTAGAAACCAAAGTCACAACCTGAAGCTGAAAAGCGCCATTTAGGACAGAAATAGTTTAGAAATTAACTAAAACTGCCTGAGATCCGAGGATATAAACCACTAAATAATAAAAACACTGCAAAAACACAAAATCTTACCATATATTGTGGTCTAGTTTCTGCTGCAAAATTCTTAGTACACTTGAAATAAGACAAAACTCATAAGTGAAATAATCTACCAATAAAACTAGGATTTTTTTCATAAATATTAAGGAATTATTGGCTTACAGTAAGCTCCTATATCTTACTTGTAAGATAGTTTTCTTTTATTTGAAGCATACTAAGATATTTGCACCAACAATACTTTGTAAGATTTTGTGTTTTTGCAGTGAGGTGATTCAACTTGCGTCCGATCCGAATTAAAACGAAACAAATACATTTAAATCATTAATAGTCTTGGTTTAGACAGAGAGAAGCTCTCGGAGTGAACTTGGTAAGTCCAGCTGAAGCTGCTGGAGTGGAGTGACATTTTCAGCGATCATGAGCCGGAGGATCAGCCGAAGCTCTGCCCACCGATCAGGCGACAAACCTGCGGAGGAAACCTTCCGGAGCTGTCCGAAAGTTGGACCCGAACTGACAAATACTGACGGATTGTCGTTATTTACAACAATTATCGTTATTCCAGCTGTCTGGACGCTCGATCGTCGCTCCTGTCCTGCTCGACACTTTCAGTTTTACAGATAAAGAGTTGTTGTTGTTGTCTTACCGCTTCGCAGCTCCGGAACACGCAGGAAAAGAGCGGATTTATCCTTTAAAAATAAAACCACGATCGGTTCCAGGGGAAGAGGGGGACGGAGATGCGTCAGGTGTATGAGCTCCCCACAAACGAAGGAGGAAAACCGAGCCGAGGGCGACTCATGTTGAGCTGAGCTGATCTGAAGCAGGCTGTTTTATTTCCTCCAAACTCCACGCTGCGAGGAATGGGGAAAAAATACCAATAAATCCACCCGTGACGCTTCAAGCTGCAGCAGATGAGTTTAGAAAGCAGCCGAGGCCCTGAACGCAGATCCTGCAAACTCCGGCTGACTTTGGCATGTTTTACATAACAGCATCATCCGCTTTTTATGTTGACGCATCATGAAGCGAAAACATGGAGCGCCTTAAAGGGCCACGCCGCAGCGCAGAGGCACACGTCCCCGTCCCCCAGCAGCAACAGCAGCGGCCCCGCTGGGCTGACAGATGGCTCCTGCACACATTATTACGTCTTTAAGACCCTTTTATTCTGACACTGGAGATAAATGTGACAGCAGAGGAGCAGGAACTCAGCGTTTCACCTCTGGAAGAAGACTGCAGCGCCCGCTTCAGAAAACTAAACTTTGACTCATCTGGTCATTAAAAAGTTTATTTATTTAAGTAATTTACCTCAAAATGTCAAATTTATGTATGTGATAGAATATGGAAATCCACAATCCAGTTTTTCATAACGTTAGAGCAAGTTTGATTATAACATTTTATGGTAAAAGTGGGGATACAAACTATTGCTTTTTACTTAGCTGTATGGTTGTAGTAAATATGTTTCAACAACTTATTTGTTGATGTATGTATTGCGTTATATTTTGGATTTACTTATTGCGATTTGTAATAGTGTTGCTTTTTTTTATCTCAAGAGGTTATCCCTGAAACAAATAAATATTCCACTCATATAAAACAAACAAAAACACAAAAAAACACAATTTTGCAATTACAATGTCTCCATTAACGCAATTAAAATGAAACATATGTTTTATTTTTTTATCAAGTTATTAAAAATGATGCTTCTTTGCCATCGTCCTCCTACCACTTCCTGTTTCGTCTTCTTTGTGGTTTATGCCAGTTGTTGATCATGCGACTCCCTTTTTACCCACTGACAGGATCAGTGGGTAAAAATTACAAATTAAATGATCCAGAAATAAAACCAAAGCCAAATGGAGCAATATCAACTTCTTTTTTTTATAGACATATACTTTAAAATAAATGAACGGAGGATTTTGAAACTCAAGAAGCTGCATCCTTCTCGTGAAAAGAAAACATTACATTTTAGGATAGTTTGATGACTTTATAGATTTTTTTAGAGATCTCAGCTGCAACACAACCCCCTCCACACTTATTGAAACCCCTGGTGAAAAGACCCCTAAATCAATAAATCAATACCTTTTTAGGTCTAGCTTTTAGTGTAAACATCTTATTTCATTTGAAATAAGAAAAACTAACTTACAAGTAACTTACAAGTCAGTAAGTTTGTTTTATGCCAATAATTTCTTAATATTAAATTTAAAAAAGTTATAGTACTGGCAGATTATTTAACGTATAGTAAGACGTTTTTCCCATGTTATAAGTGAAATAATTTGTTAAAGAGTTACTTGAAAGTAATTCTTGTCTAATTTCAAGATATTTGCACTAAAAAATTGACCAAAACACTCAACATTTTTGAAAATATTATGTTAGGCAGTGATTATCTATATAATCATCAGTGCAACTTGAAATTAGAGTAACACTTAAGTTTTTTATAACAATATACATCTATTTCAAATAAATTACAGTAACAAAGTTTTTCTTTAGTGAACACTTGTAGCAAAGTTTGCATCTGCAGGTAAAAAATACTTCTAGCATCAACATGTAAAAACCTCAGCTCTCATCTTTGATTATCTTTGATTAACAGATCAATAATTGGATAGCGAAAGATGCTTAAGAGAAGTTTTTTTAAACATAATTTGAACCAGGTGAAGCTAAAACTGCAACTTGAGGAGTTAACAGATTTACATTTTTATTTAATCTTAAAAGTAAATGTTTTTTTTTATTGCTTAATTACTACTCTGAATATTATGTCGTTTCAGAAAATATAATTATTTTATTGTCTCTATGCTCCAGTTAATTAAGTTAATTGAAGATTATTTAAAAATAGATTAATCTGATTAATTGTTTCAGCCGTTATTTATATTACAGGAGTCCTGAACAAGAAATTCATGACAAGCAGGAAGTTTAAGGCTGCGTTCACACTGCCTCAAAGTGATCCAATTCAGATTTTTTTTGGTCAAAATTGGACCTGTATCTGACCTTCTTTTTATGAAGGTCTGAACAACACAGCCCGGATTCTTTCCGAATGTGACCCAGGCCACTTTTAAGATATCCGATACGTATCCGATCGTTTCAGATGAGACCTGAATCCTAACGGTCAAGTCCTGAACGTCACTGACGCTCGACAAACGTCACTGTTCTGCGTCCTGACACGCAAAAGCGGTAAGAAAAACAACAACAATGGAGGTAATGAGGATTAAGTTGTTAAAGTGCTGGATGCGGTCGGACAACAACTTCAAAATCGCAAGCTATGCTCCACCGTTAGCCTCCATGTTTACTTCCGCAAACACTGAGCACGCTCTCCAAGTGTGACGTCATTGCGCCCTCTACTGCGCCTGCAGGACATTTTCATGTCATTTGCAGTTCTCATATGGGTCACATGTATTTGTAAGTGTGAACGACCACAAAAAAAAAATCCGATTTGACAGAAAAATAAAAAAAAATAAAAATCATTGGATTTGGGTCACTTCAGGCTGCAGTGTAAACGTAGCCCATTATGTCATGTCTCCATGTTAAAGCTGCTGATGTTACGGTTTGCAGCTTGGAATAGTTTTAAACTGCATGAAAACACAGCAGAAAAACCTTCAGTCATTTTAACTGGCTCTGCCAGCTGCAACATTTCAGTGATTTTACCGTCTGAACCTCATTTGTTGGCTTCCCAGCCTGAAACTGAGTTCCCATGTATTATTCAAATGTGCTGGGATGGTTCCACCATTGTCTGGACTGCTGTCTCCTCTCTCGTCTGCAAACAAGAGGCTGAGTGTTCAGCACTCACTGAGGCGTCATGAGCACGTTCTTATTACTTTTTATTTCCAATGCAGGGAGGCTTTTGCATTTCAGAGTCTGTTTTTCCTTTAATCAGAACCAAAACTTTACTCTTTCATTTCTGGGTTTCGGATTAAACATAAAGGCGGGGTTAAACTTACAGTTTCCGTCACAGAAAACTGAGCAGCCAAGAAACAGCTGATGGATAGAAACTACTTTAATGCTTGTTTAAAACTACAGAGTCTTTTAATGTGTTAATGAAATATATTTTTTCATTCCTCTCCACCACATTCACTTAGCAGCTATGATTGACTTTTATGTGTGTGTAATTTAGGCTTTAGCCCATAAAAAAAATCCAGTATTAACCAGAGTGAGGTCAAGACATATTTGGAATCAAATAAAACTTGGTAACTGGTCTAGTATTACATTTTACACTGCAAAAACACTAAATCTTACCAAGTATTTTTGTCTAGTACTTAGTACATGTGAAACAAGATAAAACTAAATTAAAAGTATATTGTCAGCAAGATATTCAAGCTTGTTTTGCATGCATAATTTCTATTAGTTCCACTGGCTGATTATTTCACTTATAACAAGACATTTTCCCTAAATTTTAAGTGAAATAATCTAAATAACATCCAAATGGGAAGGAAATGGTAACAGATTTTTTTTGTTATAGTTTATGATTCTTTCCTTTCAAATTTCATTTTTAAAAACTATTACTCTGCAAAAACAAACTCTTACCAAGTATTTTCTGGTGCAAATATATCAGTACAAACTCAAAACTCCTCAACTAGAGATTATTCTACCCACAAATAAAACAGTGGTTTGGTTAAGTAGTAGTTTATCCATCAGATCAAAGTTTTTATCAGTATGCTGCTACATCTATCAGTCCCTGCAGTTTTTGGTGCTAATGCATAATTGAGAGTTTATTGCAAATTTCCCACAATAGTGACAAACATTATGTTTATGTAATGCTACCTCCCACCTGCAGGTGGCAGTATGTCTCACTTCTGCTACTCTGCTGCCTCAGCCTGAAGTCAAAACTTATTGACAGTTATTTGTTAATATTTTAACAGTTTGTAAATGAATCAATGTTTCAGGAACAAACATTCATTATCTTAATTTAGCCCAAAATGAATGAATCTGTGTTGCAGCATTACACAGACAAACGTTAGAAACTTATTGATTTATTTATTGCAAACCTGGTATAGTTCATACATTTCTACATAATGATGACACCTACAATCAAGAACAGACAAAATATTCACAGAAAAAAATGTTAAAGATGTTTGACAGTGTTTTGTTTACAGAAGAATATTCATTAACAGAATGAGTTTAGGGAAAACCTTCGATAATCTGTCAAAGATGATTTTATCCAAATCGTTTTGAGTAAGAGTTTAAGCTTGAAATCCAGAAATCTGTTCATTACATTATTATCATCTACCTCCAGCTGACAGGCAGCTAGCATAGCAAAACTTCAAGGCCGCTCGGCGAGGATCAATATGTAATTTGTTCATTTATCAGCTTATTGTCTGAATGGAAACAACAACAACTCATCCGTTAAGGTCCTGGGTGTGAGAAACGATGCAAACAACAAACCGAGCGACTGCTGCGTCTATCTGAACATGGAGTTGAAGGCTCGGCCGATGATGATCCGGCGGACTTCGCTGGTTCCCGCCCCGATTTCGTACAGCTTCGCGTCTCGCAGGAATCTCCCCACCGGATAGTCGTTGATGTAGCCGTTCCCGCCTGAGGGTAGCGCCAAAAGTTTCAGTTTCAAACCAAATCAGACAACTTATTCAGGAAAAAACAACAATACACTGCAAAAACACAAACTTACCAAGTAGATTTTAGTGAAAATATCTTTGTTTTATCTCATTTAAAGTGTACTAGCTTAAAAATAACTTTTCAGCAAGATATAGGTGCTTAATTTAACTAAATAATTCCTTAATATTGATGAAAAAATACTTGAAATCCTAGGTGACGGTGCAAAATATCTGCGTCAACACTCCAAAAACAAAATCTTACCAAGTATTTTTGGTCTAGTTTTTAGTGCATATTCCTTATTACACTTGAAATAAGACTAAATTAACTTACAAGTAACTTTTTAGCGAAATACAGGAGCTTAATTTAAGTAAATAATTCCTTAATATTGATGAAAAAGTATCTTATAACACTAGAAAAATGTCTTGCCAACAAAACTAGCACTTTTTCACTCACCTAAACACTGAATGCCATCCAAGGCAACCTGAGTGGCATTCTCAGCGCAGTAGAGAATCACTCCAGCACAGTCCTAGAAAAAACAAAAACATATTTTTACCACATAGCCTTAATATTCAAATTATGTAAAAAAAAAAAAAACACAAACTCAGCATCACAGAATGGATTATAGGCTGGTTAACTAGGAGAAAACAAAACTATTCAGGTCTTTAACATGAGAAATAAACAAAAATCTGACTTAAATGCTGAACAGGTTCCTTGTAAACATATGTTTTAAGTATATACAGGCAGCCAAATTGATTTTCTAAATAAGAAAATGGATTAAAGAGTACTAAATGTTCCAACCTTTGAACTGAAATGCCCTTTGTCACAAGCTCTGGCGACGTTGTAGAGGTACTGCCGACAGGAGCTCAGTCTGGTGTACATGTCGGCCATCTTGCCCTGCATCAGCTGTGGAAAAAGTTTACATTTCACCAGATTAGGATCTGTCAGCTGGTGAGAGCTTTGTCCAGGTGAAAATCAGCAGTCAGACCTGAAAGTGTCCAATCTTCTGTCCAAACGCTTCTCTCACATGTAGGTAGGGGACAGCAG